CTTATACTTACAAAGTTTGTACTCACTTCCCATAATATTCCAAGTCTTTTCAAATTTCACATGTGACAGATGTAAAACACTCTTTTAGGCTTTATATATATGCAAGTTCATGCAAGTATTATAATCTAAATAAAATGTAATATTTACAACTAGTGTATTCTAATTTATAGACATTTAATATGATCTCATAATTTCCACCATTAGACATTAGAGCTAAACTTTCAGTTTCACTAGTTTGGTCCTTAGTTTGCACTGTACTGTAGCCTGTAGAGCGACACTATAAGTATGACTCGTATGAGAGACCTGTCACTTTCTTCTTCTCAAACAAAAAACAAGAGTAAAATGTTAATTTGTCAATTTTATCATTATGATAATTTAACTACACAGTTACAATTATAAGATTTTATTGATTAATCTTTCAACCAGTTACTTATGCCTGCTATTAGTAATATGTAATAGTATTAAAATTAAAACTATCGCTATTGACTAGTTATTAAGCCTAATAGTAATACAACCACACATCACTAATAATAATTATATATATATTGTTAGTAAGGCTATACTTAGGCTTAGGTAAGCCTAACTTACTTAGAACTTAACAGAACTAAAAGTAAAAGCTTTTTCTCACTAGTTACTGTTTGTTACACTTACATTCGAAAAGCAATGAAACAGTAGTAATTCCACAGATACACGTTTGTTTGAACTTGTTTGCTAAAATTTTAAAGAAAAGTGACATGTGTCTATCTCTGCGTGACACTTAATACTAGTAATTAAAAAAAACACACATTTTAGTTGAACTTCTACCATTGAAACTGCCTCACGCCAAAGGCAAAACACCTCACACAAAATATCAAACCTGTTTACTGAAAAAATGTTACCTTGGAACTATCAGTCCATAAGCTACTTTTAAAAAACTAGTCCCAATGAGAAACAACTGACAAGGTTTACTTTACGAAAATTAATAAATTTTATTTATTTTAATTGCACAAACGATGAATTTGTACAGTTAAAAGAAACGTTTATTTCACAAAAATATTACGTTTAAAGGCATGTCACTAATTCGTCAGCCGCTTGGCGTATTGATACGTAACTACTTGTACGGTACTACTAGTAGTAGTGTGCAGAAGGTATTTAAATCACGTGATTTGTTTTGGAAAAATAATTATAGTTAACAACCAGCTCTATATTTTACATCTGGCTGTATATGAACAAACCTATTCCACATGACTTCGATCTGTCCATTCTCTTTATATTCTGATGTTTATATTTCAGAATATATTTATAATATCGAGGACATAAAATAGGAAAAGGTTACTGCTTTGTGGATGAGGGTAAGGGCGTAGATTTGGAGTATCTGGATTTTTAGAAAACATTTGACAAGTTGCCACATAAGAGGTTTGTAAATATATATATATATTGTTACGTCTCTGATCGTTAGTTAATTTTCCGTAAAAATTCTTTCCGAAGAAACTTTAACGATACAAGTCCTTTCTCAAATAAAACT